CTCTTCTGCCATGAGCGATAATTGCTTCCTTCCATGTATTTATCTTTTCTTATCAATACATATATCTATCTCTTTGGCCGAGAAAAAAATAAAATAAAATATCGATCAAACGAAATCTTTTTTTTTTTTCATCTAAACTTCTCGATTGAATGACAACCTTTCCTGCTTAAGGGTTAGGCAAGTTTGTGTTCTTTAGAAAACCTATTATAAATAGGTTATTAACGATTTAAAAGCCTATTATATCCAATAATGGTTAACTTTACTGTTTTTCAATATTTTATTTATAATAGTAAAATATAAATTTCCAATTCAATTAGTAAATCTGGTTTTGGTGGCTTAATTTCTCTCATACTGAAAGAAATAACTAAGTCTCTCTTTTTACCTTCTTTTATTTTTGTTTTTCAAAATTTTGATATTTTAAAATGTATCAATTTACAACAATAGCATTAGCAATTATATTATTTCAAGAAATATTTCTTAAAAAAATTGAAAATTTGAGTACTAGAATTTGACAATTAAAAAATAATTTTAAATGAAAGAATAACGATGTGAAAGATAGAAAAAAATATTAAAAATATATGCAATATAGGTATTGTTAGATTTGTAAAAATGTATAGATATTATTAATAATATGAAAAACATAAAAATAAAAAAATTGGGTAAAAAAGAAACATAAAAAATATTGATATCTCAATTTACTAATACATCATTAATTCCTGTGCTCTTTTAGTTTATGTACGGGCCAAACTTGAAAGCCTCCATTTGGCTCTCTTCTCAACTGAATAAGGCAAATACGTTCCCCTAATCCTATCCCACAGGGAGAAGAATGGTTGGGAGAAGCTGTACTTGCCACCATGAAAATGGTGGTGGACATCGTGGTGGGCAGAATTGTTGCTGAAGAAGATGTGGAAGAGGTTTCCGGCAGGAAGCCATAGCCCGCAGTGGTCATCCACCGATTTGATGGTGGCGAAAGAGAAGAAAAACATGGAAGTTCGAGGGGACATGCCGAAGAGGAAGTAGGACAAGGCTCCACCGATTATGTCAAAGGCGATTGCCTCCACGGGATGGTTGTAGATTGCCCCAAATGCGTAGGGAACCTCAAGCCTGTGATGTTGGGAATGGAAGTGTCCGTACAAGAACTTGTTGTGGTGGAAATATCTGTGCATGAAATATTGCCAAGTATCCAAAACCAACATTGCTATTACAAATTGTCTTGCGATGACTGCCTTTTAGAAGAAGCCCCGGCATCATTTCTTATCACCCAAAAAACACCAAAAGTATTACAAAATTATACAAAAAACATTATTAGAAATATTTTTAATAGCATATTTTAAAAATGTGTAGGTTTAACTCAAATTTATTGTAGTAATTCAAATACTATAAATAAGGAGAAAAAATAAAATATTTTTCACTGTAAGCAGATAGCTGTAAGCATTTTTTATTGATCTTACATCAATAAAAGATGAAATGGATGTTAAACTAATAAGGAAAGATTTTCTTTCACCTAACTAACTCTTCTAGTTGAGGTGCAGCTATGGAGGGTTTGAGGTAACTACAATCCCAGGGTGTAAGCGGTGAGCAGATCTTTGTGGTTATAGTATTGAGGCAAGGGGAGTGGAATGAAAATAACAATGAAGGATCAAAGGGGTAAGAGGGCAAGGGTGAGATTTGGAGGGATATGCATTAATCTTGCAGGGAAAAGTGGAGGAATGGGAAGGAAATTAAAAGGCCTAGATAGGACGAAGGGTAGGGAATGCTAGGTTCAAAATAAACACTTTAGATCTTTAAAAGATATTTTTAAGGATATAAAGGTGTGAGACTTTTATGAGAGATATTAAGATCAAGATAAATTTAGATAAAGGTAAGTTTTTCTTTTCTATAAGTGAAAAAGCTAATGCAATGATGCGTTGCATAATTAAATAATTTTAATAAGAAATGAGATGAGTTACACCTAATAAGTATATTTTTTGAGTTAAAAATATAAGTCTATGACACATGCAAATCATGCAATTTTCAAGTCGAAGCATGAAAGTTACCCAAATGATGCAAGAGCTAGCTTGAAAGACAGACCATGAAAATCATGCACGAAACCCTAAATTTTCAACCAAAAAATATTACACCACAACTCCTTAAGATAAACCATCATGCATGAAAGGAAAACAACAATCAAAATGAAGTTGTTCATTCATACCGTGTATAAAAAGATGGCCATGATAGCCTGAATGGTTTGTTGGAAAAGAACATTTTTTATGACAGTCTCCTTGGACACCAAATTCTTCTACTCCTCTTCTTCCTTTGAATGCAGTCTGTAATTCCCCATCGACCCCAAAGCCATGCACATCCCTGAATAAACCCAATAAATAGCAATCGGAGCGAAAGTTCCAAGCAATTCATCCGATATTGCCAAATCCATCATTCTTCTTCAACTGCCTACTCATCAACTTACTTCTTATAGCGAGCAGAAATGACCTTGGAAGTAAACCCTTTTAATTAAATGTGGTTTCCACTTAGAATTTTCCTCCTCAAGATTATTATTATTATTATTATTAAGGGTAAAGATTATTATCATTAAAAAAAAACTAAATACTCAAATCATGCCCTGAACTATATAAAAAAAAAACAATTCAGACCCTATCCTTTTATGAGATTTAAATAAACCCCTAAACTTCTATTTCGGGTCAAATAAGCTACTCTTCCTAACCATTGACTAACTTCTATTAATCATCGAATCATATGAAACTTCTATCCCATGTCATCTGCCACGTGGTAGATAACGTGACATTAAATATTATTGATTAAGATTTGCGTGCTTATTTTTTACCCATTTACTCAATCATAATCAATAATATTTAATGTCACATCATCTACCAGGTGACAGATGACATGGTATAAAAGTACCACATGTACTATTGACTAATAGAAGTTAGTCAACAATTAAAAAGATGAGCTTATTTGACTTGAAATAAAAATTTATGGGTTTATTTGACTGTAATAAAAAAATAAAAATTGAATTGATTTTTTTGACTTAGTTCATGAGCTTATTTAAATGTTTAACCAAAAAAATAATAAACGTTAAAAGTTTTACATACAATTTGTTTTGTTTAATTATTACATTGAGTTGTTTTCAAGAAATATAATAGATGTTATTCTCAATCATAATTATTACGATATGTAAATTTAACTAAACATTTGATATAAAAAACAAGAGTTGCTTACGTCACATCAAATTCCATGTATTCAATAAATTAACAACTATCAGTAAGAATAACATTTTTTGTATTTTTGTTATAAGATACAAATTAAAAAAATTAATTAGATGTGATAAAAATATAAAAAATTAATTACAATAACATATTATATAAGAAGATCTTGTGCTATTTTAATCATATAATAATTATATCATTTATATGTCAAATAATATTTTATTCAATTGTAATTATAATAATAATAACAAAAATATTCTCAACCAATAAAAGGACTAATCTTTCAAAGTCCACTTAGTTTGGTAAAAACGTAAACCAAGTACATTAAAATCAATTAATCTCACTGAAACTTTTTCTTTAATATTTTGCCAAAAGGGAGTGGGGGTTAGGCATGCATAAATTTTTCCAAAATCCTAGCATTAATAGGTTATTAACTTCAACATCTTTATTGGCCAAAAAAAAAGGGGGTTATTAAAGATAATAAATATCATTGAAAGGCATAATTGATTAAAATCGAATAAATAATTAAAAAATGCCACACTAATCATAAAGTTATAATTAGTTTATATGAAAATAAAATCATGTATTTTTCTTCTTTATCCATAATTTTTTTTTAATAATTGAGGGAAGAGGGATTCAAACTTACTCTTTAAATAAGGAGATAATGCACCAATCAATGAATCAAATGCTTGAACGTAAATTTTTTATCTATAATAATCATTTAAAAGTTTTATTCATTTATTTTTTCCTTAATCTAAACATGTTTGTTTTCTTTTTAAAAGTAAATAAAAATAAGTATCATAATAATAATAATAATAATATCAATAAAATGAAATTTTATTTTATTTTTTCATCTTAACTTTCTTGATCGAATGGCAACCTTACGTGATAAATAAGAGTTAGGTTAGTTTGTGTTTCTTCAGAAAACCTATTATAAATAGGTTATTAATGATTAAAAAGCTCATTATTTCCAATAATGGTTAATTTTACTATTTTTTTCAATATATTTAAAACCAAAGTTTTGTTTTTTGAGTTGAAGAAAATTAAAAAATTGGATAAAAAAGAAACATAACAAATATTTATATCTCATTAATTAAAAAAATAAAGGAATATCACAATTTTTAACTAAGGAGAATTTAAAACCATTCAAAGTCCCTAATTAAAATCTTAAGATTTTTTCCAATTTTTTGACATAATATCTAAAAAAAATCCTTAATTATTCAAAAAATTTTAAATAAGTCTTTATACTTTTATTGCATTTAATCAAGTCTTTATATTTTTATTTTGAGTCAAATAAACTCTTATATTTTTATTTTGAGTTAAATAAGTCCTTATTACTAATGATTGAATTAATAAAAATATTATTTATCATTCTATACTGCGTGACGCTAATATGACATGGTAAAATATTATAATTGATGATAACATGACATGCTAATTTAGTATGCTAACATAATCATATGATTTTTTTAACTTTTATGTTAATGTCATATGTCAGTGTCATGTAAATATAAATAATAAGTGACATTTTAACTAATCATAATTAATTATTTATTTATAATAAAAATTTATTTGATCAAAAATAAAAATATAAAAATTTGATTGAGTGTAATAAAAAATAAATTTTTTTAAAATTTTTTAAATAATTTAAAAATTTATTTGAGCATTATACTCTATTTTTACGTGAAAATAAACTAAAATTTGAATAGATGCAAATGCCCATATCAAGCCTTTTTAGTGAAAATAGGCTCATATTATTAAAAGAACATTGGGCGGATTTGCCCTGTGAAAGTGGGCTTCATGGGCCTGGATCAAGTATTCATCTTTGGAGGCAAGCAACTAACCGCCATTGCCTATATAAAGCTCGTTCGACTGAGATTTTTGGCTTTCCCATTCCTACTGTTATTCACTGATAGTGCAAACAGAAGTTTTGCTCTCGCAAAGTTTCTCTAATGGCTTTCGTTAGTACTTACTGCTGCGATGATCTACAGCACGTCGTTTACCAACCTCGGCTTCAACCAGTACCCCCTTACCCCACTCCCCGTTTCGTTCAAGTTGAGCTAACCATCAGCCTTCGAGTTGACCGCAGTCGCCATTATTGCTTAAACGACCAGATCATTGATCTCGAGGACGAGGGCCCTTTCTCCTCGGGAGAAACTCTTCGTTTCAATCTCGATGTTTTGAGAGACCATCATCGGGCTTACCAAGTTCTTGGTCCCGTGTTAAGAGGACTCTTGGTCACCGGCAACGTCTTTCTTACTTTGGATCCTATCATTGATGATATCATCCGACATGGGCTTAAAATCGAAAACTGGGCATCAAACAGGGGACGTGAAGTATTGATTTTACGTGCAGAGTTATGGGGAACAGTTGTGGAACACATAGAATACCAGGAAGGGGTGGTTTTGTTGGAAAGAGCTTCGGGAGAATCGGCGTCGGAGTCTGGAATGGTTCCCGCCAAGGAGTCATCGGTCAAGAGGATGCTGACGAGGGTTCGAGTTGAAGCTGGAGAGTGTGATCAAAAGGCTGGACAAAATATCGAGAAAAGGCTTGTGAATGTTGAAGATTGCGTGATATGTTTGGAAGAATTTAAAGTTGGATCAGTGGCTTTGCAGATGCCTTGTTTTCACGGTGATTGCATTGAAAGGTGCTTGAGGCAAAGCCACTATTGCCCTGTCTGCCGGATTGAGATGCCGACAGAGTGAACACTTTTTCTTTTCTTAGTTTTTCTTGCTTCTAGTCAAACAGACAAACCTCTTCTAGTTTTGGATAACATGTAAACTGCTGTTGAAGAGGTTTTTCTTTTTATTAGTTTTGATTATTTTAGTTATTCTGCTTCAGCTTGTGCAATAAATAAATATAACTTCTCTGATGCATTACAAAAATTCTGAGGATTGTTGTGTTCTGCACTGCAATTTGATGTTTTCTGTTGATAGTCAGTGATGGGTTGATGCTGTTGGTCTGGTGTTTGATTTCTGCTGGTGCTGATTCTGATAAGTTGATGTTTTAGGCTTCCTGTATGATAGACTACCCTACACTTAGTTGTTTTTTTCCGTACTTTTGTCATGACTATAATGTTGAAAAATAATATATTTTATAAAATTCAAACATTTTACATTATTATGATACATGAAAGATAAATACTTTATATATAAAAACCCACTATAAGCTTGTTGCAAGAAAAAAAAACAGAGTAGGCTCTCATGCACACAAGATTAGGTTAGACTTTAAAAAAATTTTAAATTTCTCTTACGTATAAATATACACGTGGGTTGTGCCCAAGTGAATTTTTATACCTTGGTTTTAATTTTTTTTAAGCTTTTTCAACCTTTAATTGAATTATACTCAAACTCTACCATATTTACCTAGCTTACCTGGTTTTGCTTGTACCTTGGCTTTAATTTTTTTAAGCTTTTGATTAAATCATACTCAAACTCTACCATGCTTACCTAGCTTACCTGATTTTGTTCCTACGTTTATCTGACTAAGTACTACCTGATCTAGTGCAACGTTTACCTTATTTGATGCTACGTTCACTTCATTCATTGCCTATAAATACAGCTTCACACCCTCAGTCACAACACACACCAAAGCCTTTAATCTCCTAAGCTTTCTCGGCTTCATTTTTTCTCTAGGTAGGTTCTTTCTTTTTGTAGTTCCTATCATCTTTTAATAGTTTGTACAAACTATTAAGGAAAGATCTGTTGAATCTTGGAGGATAACTACTACAGTCCTTCTGCACTGAGTTTTATACTCCGAAGGGATGAAAATTATCCTTATGAACAGTGAAATCACGCCTTAGACTTCTTGTTATTGTTTTTACTTGTTTTATTTTATATTCTTTGTTTCCCATAATTTTTTCTAACAATCTTAAGGAAAATAGATTCCCATATTGATAATGCTATTGCCTCTGTTCCTACAGCTGCCTCTGTCCATACTGCCACCACCACTATTAATGGTTCCACCATGGCTCCCACTCCATTGACCGTTCCTTCTATACCTTCGGTTTCATATGCCAAACCATTTCTAGATATTTTCAAAATAAACGTTTTTGATGGCAGAAACTTTATAAGGTGGTAAGAAATATTGGTTCTAAGACATCTGATTGTATGTTTATTAGTTATTCTGAACATAGTACTGCATATTGATTTCTTGTATTAAAAAGTGATGTTCTTGATTATAATATAATTGTTGAAACAAAGAATGCTGAATTTTTCAAGCATATTTTTTCATTAAGAACTGATACAATTTCTCATGCACCCTTTAGTAAAAATGATTTTAAAATACAAAATGATGATTTAAGAAAGAGTAAAAGACCAAAGAAAAAATTTTCTTTTGGTAATGATTTTTATATTTATTTTGTAGATAATGAACCTTTAACTTATGCTAATGCAATTTCTTCTAAAAAAGTTCATTTTGGAAAAAAGTCATACAAAATGAAATTAATTCGATTTTACAAAATCAAACTTGAGAATTAGTTGATTTACCACCAGGAGCCAAACCAATTGGTTGCAAATGAATTTTTTTTAAAAAAAAATTCAATCCTAACAATTCTATTGATAAATACAAAGGTAGATTAGTTACAAAGGGTTTTACTCAAAAATAAAATATTAACTGTTTTGATACTTTTGCTCTATTAACAAGAATTGCATCAATTCATGTTTTATTTACCTTAGTTTCAATTTACAAACTTGTTATTCATCAAATGGATGTAAAAATTACTTTTTTTAATGGTGATTTAGAAGAAAAAATTTATATAACACAACCCGAGACATGTATTCCTCCTAGTGAAAAAAACAAAATTTGTAAATTGATTAAATCATTACATGGCTTGAAACAAGCACTAAAACATGGCATGAAAAATTTGATTAAGTTATTATTAGTAATGAATTTTTAACTGTTGGAGTTGATAAATGTGTGTACACAAAAATTTTTGATAGTGAGTGTGATTATTAGCTTATATGTAGATGATATGCTTATAGATAGTACATGCATTGATGTGGTCAATAAAACAAAATATTTTTTAGCTTCTAAATTTGATATGAAAGATTTAGTTGAAGCCAATGTTATTTTGGATATTAAAATCATAAGATGTGATAGTGGCTTAATGCTAACACAAAAGCATAATGTTGAGAGGCTACTTAAAAAGTTTGGACATTTTGATGTCACACCGATTAGTACTCCTTATGATAGTATTATCCAATTAAAGAAAAATAGACGTGATAGTGTAACTCAGTCTGAGTATGTATAGATTATTAGGAGTTTGATGGAATTGATGAATTATACTCGACTAAATATAGCTTATGCTGTGTGTGGACTGAGCAAATATACATAAAGTCCCAATAGAGATCATTGGACTACCTTGAGCAAGATGATGAAATATTTGAAAGGTACCGTAAATTATGGTATTTTACATAATGAATTGCCTATTATATTGGAAGGATACAATGATGCTAACTTGATCTCAAATTCAAATGAGATGAAATGTACGAGTGGTTATGTATTCACCTTTGATGGGGGTGCTATAACTTGAAAATCAATCAAACAAACAATAATTACTAAATCTACAATAGAAACAAAATTTATAGCTTTAGAGTTAGCTGGCAATGAAGTTGAGTAGTTGAGAAACCTCTTAGCAAAATATTCCGTTGGGAATAAAACTAGCATTTTCTGTGTCTATGCATTGTGATTGCTAAGCGGCAGTAGCCATTTCAAAGAATAAAACTTTCAATGGTAAAAATAGATATATTAGTATGAGACATGATGTAGTAAAGTAGTTGCTTGGAGATAAAATTATATCCATTAATTATGTAAAGTCATAACTGAATTTGGCCAATTCTCTGACTAAACCCCTAGAAAGAAAATTAATTAATATTACATCGAGAGGAATGGGACTTAAGCCAAATGAGAAAACCAACAAATAATGATAACCCAACCTATGTAATTGGAGATCCCATGAATTAGGTTCATATGGGTAATCACAAGTTATTTATTGATAAATTAATGCACTATTAAAATCATTATGTCTCTTATAGTGTGTGAGTAGTACAAAACTGCAATACAAGAGAGGTTGAGTTACACTGTTAATGCATTCTATATCCCTTATAGGTAGTGTATTACACTGCAGTATACACTTGATGGAATCAACCTATACAAATGTGGAATGGGATCACTCCGATAAGAATTATGGTAAATTCTCTATAGCACTAATGAATAACCAAGCCAGCACATGGCTTATTCGCATAAAACCATGTTGAACAGCAAAAATTGTGAGGTGTAATGTGATTGATGAAAACTATATTTCAGATAAAGAATTTTGGTTCATATAAGTTA